AATTTGAGTTAAGTAAATTAAAGCTCTGGGCATCTCTCTCGAGCAGGGCTACCATTTGAGTTACATGTGTGTACGACTCCAGAAAGGATGAGTTGAGCACTGTGGCAGAGACAGCAGAAAGGGGAGTGCCCCTAGGAGTTTGGTCCCGCCTCTGTAAGGGGACAGAAACTCATTATACCCCTACAGAGCAACAGCTCCGGTGGTGTACACAATGTTCCTTCAGGGAGAGCCTCTCACACAGCTGCCAGTGCAGTAGCCCATGGGCTGAGCTCAAAGCAATCTGCCTAGTGATCACTCATGAGTCCTGGTCATTAATCCTTTGCAAGGACAGTTGGGCGGTTTTCAGAGGGATTGATCCTATGGCTTGGACAATGGGAAGCCAAGGGATGGATGATCATATATAAGCTCTTGTGGGGGCAGGATATGTGGAAAGACATTTGGGTCCATCTGCAAAAGCCTGAGGCACTCTTCACTGTCCTCCATGTCCCAGCTCACAAGACACTGACACCCCTTGCAGTCAGAAAGCTGATGCTCTAGCTCAGTTACGAACCCTATCTACTGACCCTTCAATAGATTCAGCAGATTGGGACCTCTGGGTGTTATACGTAAACAATGAATCATGGAACACTGCATCAAAAACTAATGATGTAATGTATTGCAATTAACATAACATAATTTAAAAAAAAAGCAGATTGGGTGTGTACAAAAATGACCACCACAGTATTGCCAAGGATGCTGGACTGCCCTTGAAGTACAGTGACTTGGTCAATGAAGTAACAGCATGTCCTGTGTATTCTGAACAATGCCCAGGACAACTGCCGGAAGAATCTGGGACCATCCGCTGAAGTTCCCAGGCAGTAAGGGATTGACAAATTGATTATGTCAGCCCCCTTTCTCTGAGTGAGGGTTCTAAGTATGCCTTGGTTTGTGTGGACACTGAATCTGACTTAATCCAAGCTTTCCCCTGTCACTAGGGAAACCGGCTACCACCACTAGGGGATGAGAGAAGCTGAGTATTATGCACAGACAGTAGTGAGGGGTCACATTTCAAAGGTTATGATGTACAAGACTGGGCAAAAGACTTGACATTGGATGTTCCGTCTCCTCTACAAATGGCAAGCAGCAGGGTTGGTAGAAAGGAAGAATGAACTACTAAAACAGCAGATTAAATTATTAACAGGTAAAACCATCTTGACTGGGTGGGCTAAAATACTATCCCAGGCTTTAATACATTTGAATGATCCACCAGTAGGGCCTGTCGCCTCACATGCCAGACAAGGGACCCCGGCTGAGGCACAAATACAATAAAGGTATGGAAGTCTTGGGAAACAGCCATTGACCTGATTCTCACTGAGGATCAACGTTCCATGCTACTGAGAGCACAAAGCCCCATAATGACTGGGGGAAAAAAATTATCTACTGGAATTTGCAATGGGACATCCCCCCAAGATGGGTGAGTTACTTTGCACCCTCTGGGTGAGGGGAAACTATTTAATCTCCACTGAAATTCTGTTGTCCTGATGCAAGATGCACCTGTTGGAATATATGAACGGACAGGAACATGTGTCATTGAAAGAGAGGAGAAGATAGGGGTCCTGGTCTGATGTATCCTGTCCCCAGTCCATTTCCTGCCTGACAGTGCTGCCTCCCCCAGAGGTATGTACAACCAGGTCAGGTTCCTAAAACTGCCAGCCTCCCTCTTCGCGAGGCCAGGTGGGCACATTCTGTTTTCTACTAGTTCATTATTTGGCTGCTATCTTTGCTCCCCATTGGTTTAGAGGATGTTATAGGACACACTGTAGAAGCCCTTACGAAATTCACCCAACAGATAGTCAACACAACCTGTCCTTACTGAACGCTGAAATGACTCTAATGAGAGTCTTCAAAAATAGAATGGCCTTAGACATTATTACTACCTCTCAAGGAGGCACCGATGCCGTTATCCAAACAGAATTTTATGTGTTCATACCTAATACATCTGCTAATGTATTATCTTTATTAAGTCACAGAACGACACAGGTAAATGCCCTAAATGATCCAACCCCCAGCCCAGGGGAATTAATAAATCAGTGGTTTGGATCACCGGTCTCTTGGTAGAAAAAATGTGTCACTGATTTAAAAATCATTGTTTTCTCTTACATGTACCTGTATTCTTGCTGTGGCATCTGCCTCCAATGCAGCCAGAGAGCCACCAAAGGAGCCACCTCCATGCTGGTGAAACCCCTTGCTGACTGCTCAGGGCACATTGTGAAAGAGAGGGGTACGTGAGATTATAAGAGCCAGTTAAGAAGGGTGGAGTTTTGGGGAAGGTCATCGAAAAGACATGACCTCCAATTGACCTGTGAGCTGGACCAGCAGTCAAAGGTTCCTCATTCCCTCTTCTGTCTTTCAAATGCGGGTTCTGCTTGCCTTTTCTGCTCCCAGGAGCTGCTCCAAGGATATAGCCTCGAGACAGTGATGTGGTGATGAGAACACCTGCCTGGTGTGCATGGTTGAGCCTAGTTAAGGCCTCTGTATAAATTTTTAATATTTGGAGTGTGGGTGGGGGATTAACTAGTCTTGCTGCCACCTGAGACAAGCCTTGTATGTAAGTTCCCTTTGCTTATTAAACCTGCTACCTCCCAACCTGGAGTAGCATGCCTCTCTTTGGTCTCTCCTTGCCCTTTGAGTAAGGGAGATGAGGCAGTTTCAGATTTCATCCAGGAACAGGAAGCTCCCAAGGGAGTTATGAGACAACAGAAATTAAAGGGAAATTAGGAAGTATTTTGAACCGAATAAATATGAAAAAAAATCAGAATTGTTGCATACCACTACAGTTAGTGCTTAAGGGGAAACATAGAGCACAACATGGCTATATTTAAAAAGAAAGAAAAGATCTGAAATCAGTGAACTGAACTTTCATCTTAAGAAACTAGAAAAAGAAGAGCAAATTAAAACATAATTAAGTAGAAGAAAGAAAAAATATCAATTGAAGCAGAAATTAATAAAATAGAAAACAAAAGTAATAGACTGTACTTTTTACAAAAAAAGTAAATTCAATGAAAAAAAAGTTTCATCAAGAAGAAAAATGAATTTTTTCTTCTAAACCAACTAATTAAAGAGAAAGACAAAAATTAACAATGCCAAGAATGAGAGAAGTTGCGTTAATACAAAATCTAGAGATATTAAAATGATAAAAAGAAAATACAAAGAAAAATGTTAGGCCAAGAAATTAAATATTTAGATAAAGTGGACAAATTCCTTGGAAGACACTAACGCCCAACAAAGTACACTCAAGAAAGAATTATTTGAATGATATTACATCCATTCAACTGAATCTGTTGTTAAAAATCTTACAAAAAAAGAAAACCCATGTCCAGATGACTTCAGTGGTAAACTATACTAAATAATGAACAAATAGTACCAATTCCACACAAAACCTTCCAGAAAATTGACATAGAGGAGTACTTCTCTAAAACATAAACCAGACAAAGCCATTACACAAAAAGCAAATTACTTATCAGTATCCTTCATAAACATACTTGCAAAAATCCTAAAACAAATTTTAGCAGAACTAATCCACCGATATATTAAAATGATAATAAATCCCAAGAACCCAAGGTTGGTTTAACCTCTTATAATTATTCAATGTAATTCATCACGTTAAAAAATTAAAAAGAAAAATATTAAAATATGTAATCATTTCAATAGATGTAGAAAAAGCAGATGTAGATAAATCAATACCCATTCCTGATAAAATCTCTCAGCATTCTAGGAATAAAAGGGAACTTCTTCAAATGAAAAAAGAGCATCTATGGAAAATACACAGTTAACACCATACTTAATTGTATTAACACTGATTTCTTCCAAGATCAAGAACAAAATAAGGATATTCACTCTCACCACTTTCTTTCAATGTTTACTAGAGGGTCTGTCTAGTCTATGAAATCTAGCAAGGAAAAGAAATAAAAATCATCCAGAAAGGAAGAAATAAAAGTGTTTTTATTTGCAGATGACATGATTATCTATGTAAAAATCCAATGGAATACACACACACACACACATTACTAGAAAAAATAAGTGTTTCAGGATATAAGGTTAGTATAAAAAAGTTTATTATAATTCTATATACTATCAAGAGACATTTGGAAATTAAAATTATAAATGATAACAATACCATCTCTAGTAGCATCAAAAATATGAAATATATGATGATAATCTAAGAACATATGTGAAACATCTATACAGAGAAAATTACAAAACATTGCTTAAAGAAATTAAAGAACACAAGTAAATGGAGAGATATACCTTGTTTATGAGTTGAACAAATCAGTATCTTTAAAATTTCAATTTTCCCCACATTTTTCTAATAGATTCAATGCAATCATTCAAAATTTCAACAGGGTTTGTTTGTTAGGTTTTAGAAATGGACAAGCCAATTCAAAAGTTAACATGGAAATACAAAGACATAGATTAATCAAAACAACTTTGAAAAAAGAACAGTGTTGAAGGATTACCACTACATGATTTAGAGAAATTGCGATATTCATGGTGGTGTAAAAATATGTAAGTAGATCAGTGGAACAGAATAGAGAGACAGAAATAGACATATGCACATATGGGTGACTGTTGACAAAAGTGCAAAGGCAAGGTAGTGAAGAAAGAATAGTCTTTTCAACAAATGTTGCTAAATCAGTTGAATATCATATGCTAAAAAAATAATAATAATAGAGAGAGAGAGAGAGAGAGCACTTTAATACATGACTTACAAACTAACCCAAAGTAAGTTACAGATTTCCATGTAAAACCTGTAACTTTTATAGTTACATTTTATATGTCTAGAAGTTACATTTTATATGTCTACATTATAAGTTACATTTATATGTCTAGAAGTTACATTTTATATGTCTAGAAGAAAATACAGGAGAAAATTTTGTGACCTTGAGTTTGCCAACAAGTTCTTAGAAACACCAGTAAAAACATGAAAATGGACTTCATCAAAATTTAGTCAAGCCATAAACTGAAAAACAAAAACAAAAGGTGATCAAAAAGACATCTGATAAGGGACTTTTATCCAGCATATACAAAGGGCTCTCAAAATGTAACAATAAAAAAACAAACAACATGAAACTTCTCAGATTTGTACATTACTTTATCAGAGAAAATATGTAGATAGTAAATAAACAATATAAGTAAATAAAAAGACCTCAAGATTATTTTTCATTTAGGAAATGCAAATTAAACCACAGTAATATACCGCCATACACCTATTAGAAGGTTACAATTACAAGACTGACCATACCAAGTGTTAGCAAGGATAGGTGGAATTGGAACATTCATACATTGCTGGTAGGAATATCAAATGGTACAACTTTGGTAAATAGTCTGGCAATTTCTCAAATACACCTACTGAGTGATCCTGACATTAAACTCTTAAGCATTTACCCAAGAGAAGAGAAATACTATGTACAAACGAAGACTTGTACACAAATATCTATAGCACCCTTATCTGCGATAGTCAAATACTGAAAACAACCCAAATGGTCATCAACAGGTAATTTATCAACAAATTGGGGTATATTCATACAAGGGAGTAATACTCAACATTTAAAAAGAGTGAAAAATTGATGCAAGCAATAAGATGAATGAATCTCAAAATGATTAGCTAAGTGAAAGAAGCTAGACCAAAAATAAAGAAAAAGGCATACTGTTTGACTCCATTCATATAAAATGCTACAAAATGCAAACTGAAAGCAGTTTGGTGGTTGTCTGAGGAGAAGGCATTGGGGAGAGGATGATAAAAGTTGGATGATGGAAATGTTCACTATCTTAATTGTGGCGATGATTTCAATGGAAAATGTTCACATATATGAAAATTCTTGTGTACTTCAAATATATTAAGTTTGTTATATGCCAATTAAACATCAATAAATGTGCTAAGAAAAGAAAATATCTCTTGTCTTCCTAGGAATGATACAGCTTTTTCTTTTTTTTATAAAGTTGGTGCTAGATTATGTGCAACAAAATGGTAAGGCTTCCTTTAAAAAGTAGAATAACCTGTGAAGGGAGGTAGCAAGGGAGTATAAATACTGAAAATGGAAGGAATACTTCTAATTCCATCTGTTTCTATTCAGCTATATTTCCATACCTGGCTCAGTTTGTTCTTTAATTGCGTATCTTCATATTTTCGTCCTGTGTGTTTCCATATTAGCACAGCACAACAGAGTTGAGAAGAACTCATTTACAAATGGTGTGTACTTTAGGGAAAAAAAAAAATCTATTTTTGCCTCAGTCCCCATGATTCTAACAAATACTATCTGAAGGATTAAAGCGATTAAGCTATCCTTTGATAAAGGATGAAGAAATAATTAGATTCCAAAACCAATAATGAATTGTGATTAGTTGACTGAAAAGATCATTCAATTTGTAATTACTTCCTGGAACATCCCAATTGCCCCAAAATGTGATGATGTGGGGTGTATATGTCGTGTGTGCATGTGTGTACGTGGTGGAATCTGGAGAAAGATCACAATTTAAAAGACCAACAACAACAAAAAAAATAAAAGACCAACAAGTGGTAGCTTTTAACATTGAGAACACAAGTTTCTGGATTCCAGCATGGCCTTTCCCTTTTTCTGTTTCTTCGTGCATTCTTTTCTGTTTCGCATGCATTTTTCCATGCATCCACCAGTTGGGCAAGTTCTCCACCTTCCATCTTCTATGTGGTTTAGGAAGGTGAGGGGAAGATGGTACTGAGGTAGAGGACTGAGTACAGAGGGCTCCCAAGACTTGAAGAGGAATAAGACTTCAAAATAAAAAAAGTGAAGGGGGATTGAAGGGTTGGCAGGGAGACTTGGGACAAGCTAGGTGAAAAACAGAGAGAGAGAAACAGAATCAAAATTTCTGATATCAAGGTGCCAGGCAGCCGGAAGCCCAATCTCTGCTAGGGAGTTCTGCCATCAGCTAATAACAAGCAGTTCATAGGGCTCTCTTGTTTTACACCTAAGTGATGAAGGACAACTTAAATTCCAGAAAAGAATTCTCCTTCTCTTCTTCCAGAGCTTTCGAATTCACTGTGCTCTCAATAGATTCGCCTTCTTCTGACATATACTGAATGCAGTTAAAATGCAGTTGTCAGCGAAAACAGTTCCCCTTTGTATATATGCACAATTGCCTGAAGGATAGTTCTGGGAAACAGGACCCTGGAGTCTAAACCTGCAGACAGGGAAGGGGGGGAAAAAAAAGGTAGATTTACTGCCACCTTGTGTCAGAAGCTTAACCTTGTCTTAAAGCTTCAAATCAGTAATAAATGTGGGAAGGAAAACTCCAGAGAAGGTCTGAAAGGCTAAATGGGCAAGTCCCTGTCTGAGAGAGGTGGAGAAGGAATGTTCAGAAATTCCTCAAGCTTCTCCCTGACAAGAAGAGGACATTATGTGGAATGTGGAAGCAACTTCACTAGCACCTTAAGCAAAGAATAGGAAACTTACAAGTGGGGCATCAAAGGAGAGCCATCCTCCCAGAGCCATGCGCTGCTGGGTTTCCTCAGAGACAACCCCATCCAGAATGGGAAATTGGAATGAGCACTTGTTTGCCGGATGAATTTCTGTGGGGAGTAATGTTTAGGTTAGATTCACAAACCTAAAGAACCAAAAGAGATCTGACATCCTTTCCGTGGTTTTACAGAAATGTTTACAAAAGCCTAGAGATACAATGTAACCTCTCTACCCAAGGTCATGCATATCATTAGTGGTCAGATGAGCCTAGAAAATAAGTATTCTGATTCTCAAACATGAGCTCCTCCACCAAGGGCATAAACCTGATTTATTTCCCTATAAGGCACTACTCCAGCCCAATGTACAACCATAAAAACTCACCAGATCATCTGTGCTATTAATTTTCAGCATCTGGGCATCCAAAGACAAACAGTTCTCCTGGCTTTTTTCCCAATTAAATGGGCCAGAGGAAAATAGGTAACAGTTTTCTTCATGCCAGAGCCAGTCTTGGGGACAAGGACCTAGGAAGTGTAGTATATCTAATCAGTGAGTGATGCCTGAGTAAAAATATTTCTACAGTTCTTAAATCAATTCTCCCCTTGGGACTGTCACATGCATATCATCTCTTCTTAATTAGAATTATATCCAGAGTCTTCAAAGACCTCAATAGACCAAAAGTCTTTATTTCTCCTAAAGTATTCTGATTTTAGTAAACTAAATTAAAAACAAGTGTGTTCAAAAGCAAAACTTGAGCTGAGATGTAACTTTAGAATCTGACCTATTTTTTAAAATTTTGTTTGGAATAATGGAAGAGCTCGGGGAGTGGATATGTTAAAAGCCACACTGCTATTAAGAAGATAAGCTTGGGGTGTCTGGCTGGCTCAGGGGAGCACACAACTCTTAATCTCGGGGTGGGTTTTAGGCCCACACTGGGTGTAGTAAATACTTAGAAATAAAATCTGGGGTGCCTGGATGGCTCAGTAGGTTAAGTGACCAACTCTTGATTTTGGCTCAGGTCATGATCTCTGGCTGGTGGGATGGAGCCCCTTGGGCTCTGTGCTCAGCAAGGAGTCTGCTTCGGGATTCTCCCTCCTTCTGTCCCTCTCCCCCTCACTAGCATGTGCACTTTCTCTCTCTAAAATCACTCAATAAATAAATCTAAAAAAAAAAGAAAATCTTTTAAAAAAAGATACATTTATATATTTTAAAACTTCAGGTTTTCAAATAATGAATTTAAGCTTATATATTGTGCTTCCTGTTTCTAGACATACGTTGTCCAATACATAGCCATATGTGGTATTCAAACTACCTGTGTTTCTTTTAATTAAAAAAAATTTCTTTTTTAAGTAAACTCTACACCCAAGCCCCCAAGGTGGGGCTTGAAATCATGACCCCAAGATCAAGAATCTCATGCTCTGCAGATTGAGCCTGCCTGGGGTCCTCTTTTCATTTCTTTTTTTTTAACGAACACAATATCACTATGTTGGCAGTACTTTACACACATTAACTTATTTAATCCTCATAACAACATGATGAAATAAGTTCCATTCAGATAGAGTAAATGGGAATGTGAAACTTGGCAGACTCGCTCTCACATCCATGTGTTTAATCACGACATGCACTACCTCTCAAACTTTTGTGTTTGAATCAATTGAGGAAATTTCTTGGTGCCCTTCAAGATATTTTGATACAGAATCTCGGGATAAACCTAGAAGTTACCATTTTTAAAAAACTACTGTAGTGATAATGTTGTACACCAAAGGTTGACAACCACCACTAATTTCAGTCCTAAATATAAAGTCTATTACTGTGAAGACCCTGCACCTTTCTAGCTGGATGACCTCCTGCAAACCACATTTGGTAACTTCTCAGAATCTCTCTCTTTTCATATCTACACTGTGGACCAAAGACTTGTTAGTAAGAAAGATAAAACTTGGGGCGCCTGGGTGGCTCAGTAGTTAAGCGTCTGCCTTCGGCTCAGGTCATGATCCCGGGGTCCTGGGATCGAGCCCCGCATCGAGCCCCGCATCGGGCTCCCTGCTCCGCGGGAAGCCTGCTTCTCCCTCTCTCACTTCCCCTGCTTGTGTTCCCTCTCTCACTGTGTCTCTCTCTGTCAAATAAATAAATAAAATCTTTAAAAAAAAAAAAAAAGAAAGATAAAACTTGTCTCAAACTTGAGGAAACTGGTCTATTTTTTTTTCCATGTGGTATTTTATTATTAATGTTTTTGAGAATCTTCTCAAAGCTGCTTGATGAAAAGCAGTACTTTATTTGCTATCTCTATTAATTGGCCTTTATCTGACACTGTCAAGGAATGGAACATGTTACCTGGGATATCTACCAGTGAAAAACATATTACTTAATATTTTTGATTGGTTGCCCATGCCTGGAATCTCTGGGAGACAGTTCTGGATGGTCCTGACGTAGATTTAATCTCATACAACTGATAAAAAACAAAAAAAAAAACAAAAACAGTTTCACAGCCCCATCTGGGGACTGAATCATTGGTTGGTATGTAGCTATGTCTGCTTATATAAACATTCCTATCTTTGATAAATTATAGTCTCCTTCCTTTACACCTTTTTAGAGACAATGTATTCTTTAATTTCCTCGATAGCTCCCTCCTTAATAAAGACATTAAATACAGGTTTGATACTTGCTAAAGATCAGTTTGTCCAAAAATCTCTGCTTCTTTTGGAAATTTAAATAACCCTGAAAATATTGAAGGGATTTATTAGCTCCAAAACTTTATAAAAAAAAACTACTTATCATTTTATCATCACTTAACTTCTCTGGCTATCAATTTTTTTCATCTATAAAATAAAGATCTGTGGGTATTTGTGAACTGTTATATAATCCATATTCAAATAAATTGCATGGTTGAGATCAAGTGAGATGTACAAGCAAGAAACTGGAGAAATCTCTGTTTATTAGTAGCAGTTAGTTACTAATGCTGAGAATAGGAGACTCATTCATACACCGCCAAGAAAGCAATGCATCTCTGAGAGTAATTCCATCTCATATCCCTTAAATCTCCCTATGATGAAAAGCATATGCCGTACTTAATTACATGTTGTACAAAGACTAAATGACACAGATAACTCTGTAATAACATCAGAGTTCACATCATCATCCCCTTCTTATAGATGCTCTTTCTACCTGCCTCCTAGATTCTGAGATCAACTCAATTCTTCTCATATAAACTGATTTCCTGGGCCCTTTATATTTTTTTCTTACCTAAAGTATCTACCCAACACTTGCAAGTCAGCCTACCTCCATTCATTTAATTTAAATTGATGTTGTATACTTTAAGAAATAGAGTTATAGAATAAAGTTAATGTAGAGCTTCGCAGGGACAAAGGAGACACCATAGGGAAAGAAATCAATGATTAAGATACATTGGTACAGGGGTGCCTGGGTGGTTCAGTCAGTTAGCATCTGCCTTCCGCTCAGGTCCTGGTATGGAGCCCTGCATCAGGCTTCCTGCTTCACCCTCTCCCTCTGCCCCTCCCCCCTACTGGTACTCTCACTCTGTTCTCTCTCATTCTCAAATAAATAAAATCCTTAAAAAAAAAAAGATACATTGGAACAGAAAGAAGTAAGAATCCATGGCAAAGGGTAAGGGTGGGAGAATTCTTCCAGAAATATCTCAAAACTAAATTTTAAAAATAAAGAAGAGGTTCTTATGAGGAAAGAAAATTTAAATCCACCAAAAACTGTGCTTAATTAAATCAGGTAGCTCAAGAATTTAGCAGAGGGAAGGGTGGGTTGACAAAAATAGAGAAATTCTGGTGTCAAACATTATGAATATATGTTAATATGCCAATTTCATGCCTAGAGACATTTTCAAAGCAGAGTTTAGATTAAACAGAGAAGTTTCCACTACTTCTTTTCACCTCTCCATCCCCCATACCTGAAAAGTTTGCTGCTTTCCTCAGAGCTTCTTGGAGATTCAGGTTCTGATGATGAAGTTCCATCTGTTTTTTGGAATTTTCATCCAGCTTCTGGTTAAGGGTTTCTATCGTTTCTTTGAGTTCCCTTTCTGACTCCTGGGAAGATTTTTCTGCCTGCTTCTGTGCTAAGATCTGTCCCTCCAGTATAATTTCCTGGTTAGTAAGGTTTGCTTGCTGTTGCTTTAGAAGATCAGAAACCTGTAATACTAAATCATAGCTGAAATAAGAACTCCATTACCAATCCTGAATAAAAATCCCTCCACTGGATTTTGAGGAAATCAAAGAATCGAATCAAATTATCTATTTTGACAACAGATAAACTGCTGGAAAATTACTCAGAAATTATGGATTTAAAAGTTATTTAATATTCCTGCAGTATTTTTTTTTAAATGTCAGGAACTGTCACAGACACTTTTGATTAAAAAACAAACAAACAGGATTTTGCTTGTTATTGACAGTTACGGACAAGCTTAAAAGCAATCATAAGATAAAGGGTATATCAATGGCATAAATAAAATACAGACAATCTGAAATAGATGCCAACCAGACTCAGTGATTATTACTAATGATTACTCTATTTGTGTCTTTATTCCGCTGCTAACTCTCTACCCTTCCAGACTTCCTAATTTTATTTAAAAACTGTGACACCCCTTTTTTGAGGCACCCTCCCAATTATTTTAAGGTGCTATGTCATAACAAGTTCAAGCATTTTTTGTTTCTTGGGTTCTTTTTTTTTAGCCACAGTACATTTTAGGAAGGGTGGGGATGAAATAAAGTTTGTGAAATCTGGCAGGCAATTAATGTTAAGGGTCAAATGTTTCAGTTCTAGAAGCTTCATGATTCAGTACAAAACAGACTGACCCCTTGGGTTGAAGGCTGGATTTGAGACTGTTGTAAAGTGATTCTTCTCATCCAGTCACCACCACTGAGTCAAGGGCACTTATCCTAGTCATTAGGGAAGGCCCTAAGTGTTAACAGATTGAAAAAATAAATGGTTGGTGACTTTAACCAACAATTGAGAAACAAATAGCACTTCCAAGGCCTTAATCATCTAGATTCTAGATGGACAAAATAACTCAGATCTACAATCTAAATACACAGGCAGATTATATGGATGATCGATACCATTTTCATTCCTTCTTGGCCACTCTCATCCTTCTTATCACTTCTTTTCCTCTCAACATCCTCTCTTATAAATGGCCATACTATAAATTTGAATTACAGTTATTTTAAATGTTTCATTTATTGAGATAATGTTTCTGATTCTTAACTTTAAATTGGTATTTAATCATCTCAATTAAAACTCAATGTAGGAGCGCCTGGATGGCTCAGTAGGTTAAGTATACGATTCTTGATTTCAGCTCAGGTCATGATCTCAGGGTCGTCAGATCGAGCCCTATGTCAGGCTCTGTGCTAAACATGGAGTCTACTTGAGATTCTCTCTTTCTCTCTCCCTCTGCTCCTCCCCCCACTTGCGCTCTCTCTCTCTAAAAAACCAAACAAACAAAAACCAAAAAAACAACCTCAGTGTGAACTATATGAAGTTTCTTTTCCTTTCGGGTCTCAGGGGATCTTGTGGCTTAGTAGCTTCAAATTATTTTCTTTTTCATCATTCCAGGATTTAAACAGACTTTACCCATGAAGTTATAACAACAAAACAAAACAAAAACCTACCATTCATAATCTTAATTCCATGTCCCAGTCAATTTGAGGGACAAGCACACTGTACTTATTCATGCTCCCACTTATTCCAAAAAGTTTGTCTAGACTGTATCTAAATCAAGGCTGTTTATAGTTATGAAACCAATTAATAAACCATGTTTGTAAGTTCTTTTTCAGCCTGTTCCGGTACTTACATTGCACTGTTAGCATTATAAGAGTTACCAGTAATCCCAAGCAAAGGATCCCCAGGGTCACAGCAGTAGGGTACCACCACCGAGAAGAAAGAAAATGAGGACCTAGAGTGACAGAGGATAGAATCAGGAAGACATAAAAGATGAAAGCAAGTCATCAAACAATTCTTTGGAAACTGTCTGTAACTCGTACTTTGCATTTCTTACCGTAGAAGTCCTCCCAAGGGCTCTGCAAATAATTCATTGTCCATATTTACAGATGAAAAATACAGACAGAGAATTTAAGTAATTTACTCTTGGTCACACAACTGACACAATTTAAGAGCCAGGATTCAATATCAGATAATGTGATGTTAAGTATCTGATTCTAAAGCTTATACTCTATCTACTCTCCCCATAATGACTCTCTAAGAAACTCTCAGTCTAGCTTGGTTGGATCAGTTTCATCCACAGAACAGAGAGCCTGATACTTTTAATATAGACCATGTGTATGCACACACACACACACACACGCACCTCATACACAGTGTGTTTTATAAGTAGTATACCATAAAAGAATGTCAGACACCAAACAAGTAAGTTAGTTAATCAACAGGTCACCTCAAATAATTATAATTTTGTGCTTTCAATTTTTATTCCACTAAAATTACCATTGGAAGTAAGGTTATTGACTGAAGAAAAATAGGAATTAAACTTCAATATTCATTTGACTCATATTAATGTCATGTCCTATACTTACACCAGCTGTGGCCCTTGTTGTTATAAAAGTTCTCCATTATTATAGAAACAAATAGGTCATGTAGCTCACAGCTCCACCACTGCAAAAGCACAGATATTTTGGTTCAACAGGAAAATATCTCATATGATCTATGTGAACCCCTAACCCTGTACAATAAACAAATAGGGTACTGGTTGTGTTATCATTTATATGCAGATAAGGAAACCTGAAGTCTCAGTGAATTGTATAAGATCACACAGATGTTAAGATCCAAACATAGGTCATTAATCCAACTGTCAGTTGCTACATGGCTTGGAACATTACATCCCAAAATTTCTAGTGCAAATGTGTAATGATCCAAATCAGTCAATGGTCAAATATATTCACAGAGTCAAAAGCACTTCTGTCAGACTCTAGAGATGAGACAGACAAAATAGAAATCTTAACAGGAAGAAATACAGTTCATTCACTGATTCAAAAGTCATTAAACTCCTGGAGTGTATGTGGCAAGTTGGCAGAGAAGTAGAAGATGGTTGTATCTCTTGCAAATAATTGCTTAGGATTCTAGCTTGGGGGTAGATATCTGTGTAAATCTGTCAACCAATATTTCCCTCTGATCAGTATTCATTCTATACTATGAGTGTATGTCTACCACTCTTGAGTGAAGAAACTCCTGAATTTTTAGAAGAAAATCATAGGCTCAACACCTGTTCAGGGAAGGCACAAGCTCCCATTTTCTACAGGACACCCTTTGCCCCATTCCGTGGGTAGGTAGAGACCATGAATCCAACCTCTGTTCCCATTAGTGATTTTCTGATCAGGAAGCAATTGGATTCTTTTCAGTAGGTGACTGATCTGAGAGATTTAGCTTCATAATTGTAAAAATTCAGGTACTCAATATTTACAACATGAAGAATGAATGAATGAATAAATGAATGAATGAACAAATGACTACTGTTAACTTGGATGTCTACCTATAAATGCTGATTCAGAGAAATAACGCATGTAAAGTGAATAGGATAGAACATAACGTATGATAATGTTTAATAAAAGTTATCAGAATCTATACATCATGATTCATATCAAGTTAGTTCATTCACATCATCATCATCATCATCATCATCATCATATCTGAATTGTTTTTCAAGTAAATGTTATTAATTCTACAATATTTTTCCATCCTCGAGTGTTTTAGCTTTCTAATCTTATATTCAATTAATTTACATTTTTGGGCTAATCCTAGAATTCTGTTGCTGTGCACATTCACCCACCCCTAATACCTTCAGCTTTCTTTCTATTTGGCTTCTGATCAGGTTGATCCTTCATAGTCTTGCTCTTGAAGTCATCAAAAGTCATTTCCAAATTCATTCCAAGAATGAGAGAATGAAGCAGTCAAGGACTTCTGCAAAGTAAAAATCTGTGAGCTCCTGCTAGAGTGTTTAAATAGCTACTGCTATTTAATAGAAGAATGACTCAATCATTGGTAGGAGGAAGAAGAGGCTTTGCTTCATACTGGTAAGTTGGCTGACGCAAATTCTTGGTTTATGTCTATTGCAGGTGGGGAAAGTGGTGATTCTGCTAGTATTTCAGGATGTTTCAATAAGTAATTTATGAAAGGGAAAACTATTTTCTGTGAGCATTAGAGAACAGGCATTTGTATTCACTCTTCAGATAAGGAAACTGAAACTCAAAAGAGTAAGTCACACTAAATTTGTAGAAGACTCTGCATTTAAACCAGATTACTTGATTCCAGTGTCCATATTTGTTTACTTCACTGTAGCAGACTATCTCTATACTGTGGCTTTCATAAGTCTCACATTTTCCTTTTTAATTTTGACTGTTTAAGTTAAATAAGCAGAAGATTAGAAATTTTGGAGTTAATCACATGTGACTCATCTCCAGCCATGGTGACCTGGGTAATTAAGAACTTAATTAGGAGTGCTATTTCATACAGTGACAGTATAACATAGCAGCAGAAATTTGGAGCCAGATGGAGCTAGTTTCAAATCTTTCCTTTGCTAGTACCTTAGTCTATAATCTTGGGGATTTACTTAATACTCTGAACTTATGTCTTTGTCTATAAATTGGGACATTGCAATGTCCACTGGATAATGTTGGTAATGTTGCTATCTGGATTCATATGAAATATTGTTTCAAAATGCTAAGTATTCTACTTCAAACATGAGAACTCAATAAATGATAGTTATTAATATTAGTAGTAGTAATATTCAGCACAATTGAATTGCCCATCAAAGGATACATTTTACACATAAATGACTGGAGTCTCAAAGACTTCAGTGAGCTCCCCATAAGGATGCTTATATGAATTCGTTGATAGAATTCTCACCTATTTTCCCTCTACAACCTCCTAACCAGAGAAGAAATATCTCATTGCAGTTATACATGCTTTTTTTTTTTTTAAATATTATGTATTAGAGATATTTTCTGAAGTATTCATGGGCAAATGATATGATATCTGGAATTTGCTTTAAACTACGTGAGGAAAAAAATAAAAGGAGGGGATACATTAAAGAACATTGGAAAAAAAATACATACAAATAAAATATCTAGGAAACTATTAAGAAAAATCACTGATACTGACAGTCTACTTAGGATTCCATTTCCTTCCTCCTTCCTGGATTACTTGTATTCCCTTTTCCTGCGCAGGATATCTGAGACCAAATTGAAAATAGTTCACCTGTCATTTAAAGTTTTACTCTATGGGGCACCTGGGTGGCTCAGCCTATTAAGCATCAGACTATTGATTTCAGTTCAGGTCCATGATCTCAGGGTAATAATCTCAGGGTCATGAGACCGAGCCCCGTGTCAGGCTCTGCCCTAAGTGTGGAGCCTGCTTAAAGATTCTCTCTCCTTCTCCCTCTGCCCCTCTGCTAGCTTGTGCTCTGTCTCTAAAAGAAGAAAAAGAAAGAAAGAAAGAAAGAAAGAAAGAAAGAAAGAAAGAAAGAAAGAAAGAAAGAAAGAAAAAGAAGAAAGAAAGACAGAAAGAAAGAAAGATTTTAAAAAATTAAATGTAGTTTTACTCTATGATACAGTTCACAAAAAAAGCTCAGCCTGTAATATATCCTAGTCAAACCAGCTTGTAACAAATCAATGCTACTTACCTTTATCACGGAAGCCCCACCCCACCTCCCTTGATTGTGAGTGCCAGGAAGCAAGATTGCTTCCTGCATTCACCATGCTGACTTTCACATAAATAGAATCTCAGTAAAGTATTTTTATTTTTATTTATTTCTTTTTAAGGATTTTATTTATTTATTTGTCAGAGAGAGAGAGAGAGAGAAGAGTGAGCACAAGCACGGGGAGAGACAGGCAGAGGGAGAAACAGGCTCTCGGCTGAGCAAGGAGCCCAACGTGGGACTTGATCCCAGGACCCTGGGATCATGACCTGAGCTGAAGGCAGACGCTTAACCAACTGAGCCACCCAGGCATCCCAGGAAAGTGCTTTTTTTTTTTTTTTTAAAGATTTTATTTATTTATTTGAGAGAGAGAGAATGAGAGACAGAGAGCCCGAGAGGGAGGAGGGTTAGAGGGAGAAGCAGGCTCCTCGCCAAGCAGGGAGCCCGATGCGGGACTCGATCCCGGGACTCCAGGATCATGACCTGAGCCGAAGGCAGTTGCTTAACCAACTGAGCCACCCAGGCGCCCCAGGAAAGTGCTTTTAATAATGAATTGATAAATACTGAAATCATGTCACAATGAAGAGGACATTTTATAATTCTCCACAGTGACTCAATTATTTTGTATGCCATCAATATTCTAGTGATAAAGAAGTGATACAGAAGCACACTTGTTGACATGAAACATTTTTTTCTTGTGAGCTCATCACTTACTAGTAACCTTTTATGGATTATCCTACGAAGGATTGTCTTGGAAGGATGCATGTTACTATATAGCTAAAACGTCCAAGGATACAAACAGCACCAGAAAAAACTACTTTCTTTAGAGAAGGTCTAAGATTGAGCTAGATCTCTCAGACTTCAGTTATTCACCTTCATACCCCACCCATGAAACCCAGGAGAGCATAATCATCCATTGTCCTTTTGGGTTCACACTCATAAGAAACTCACTAAACAGTCCAGGACCTGGTGATGAGCTCTACAAATCCTGTACTCCCTACAAATACAATTCATTTTTTTTTCTTTAAAAAATCCTCTGTACTCAACATCTACAGGTAGGATTGCCAACAATTTTTACTCCCTCATTTTATATACTCTAATAGTGCACTCTATTGATTTTCAATTCCATTAAAATTATTCCAACTCTCCAACCAAATTATAAGCTCTTTAGAAGTAAAAAATAGATCCCCTTCTATTAATAAAAACTAATTCTTTCCTATCACCCTGGCATACCATATCAATTGTAATGTTCTTTAATATCTTGTAAATAGCAAACAGTTAACACTTGAGATTCTTAGCTATTAAGACATCACCAGAATAAGCTGGGTTTTAAAATACAAAGAAATTTAAGGAAAATATGTCTTAGTTCTTTATTTTGAGAATGTGGAGCTAAAGCCCAAAAAATGTAAGTGATTTACTGAACATCTCTTTTCTATCTGATGTCAGATAAGAACTCAGCTCACTATTCTTATCCAATTAAAAACTCTGTACTCATTAAACTATAATTCCTGTGATGCTTAGTTTTATGTGTCAACTTGTCTGGGCGGGCCATGGGGCACCCAGATATTTGGTCAAATATTTTTCTGAGTTTCTCTGAGAATGTTTTTGGATGATATTAACATTTTAATCAGTAGGGTAATGTTTTCCCTCCATAATGAGAGTGGGCCTCATTTAATCAGTTGAAGGCCTAGAACAAAGACACTAATCTTGCTTCAAATAAGAAAATATTCTCCAGCAGACAGCCTGTGGGCTGGAACTTCATCATTGGTTCTATTGGGACTCGAGCCAGCTGGTCCACATTACAGATTTGGACTTGCCAGTCTATAATTGCATGAGTCAGTTCCTTATAATAAATCTTTCTCTATAAATATGCACATCCTATTGGTTCTGTTTTTCTGGAGAACCCTGACTATTATAGCTCTCCATTCTTTCTTTCTCCCAGTTCCTGGAAACCACCATTCTATTTTATGTTTCTATGAATTTGACTACTCTAGGTATCTCATATAAGTGGAAACATACAATACTTGTCCTTTTGTATCTGGCTTATTTCACTTAACATAGTGTCTTCAAGGTTTATCCACGCTGTAGCATGTATCAGAATTCTCTTTATTTTTAAGGCTAAATAATATTCCATTGTGTGTATATACCACATTTTGTTTATCCATTCATCCATTGATGGACATTTGTATTTCTTCTGTTTTTAAAGATCCATGGGATAATTTCTATAATCCTGATGTAGCAGACAGCTGGAAAAGTTTCACAGACTAAGTGGTTCTCATTATCCCTGCCTCCTGATATTCATGCCCTTGTGTAATCTTCTCCACTTGAGTGTGGGTTGGTATCTGTGGCTTGGAAGGTGGCAAAGGTGATGGAACATATATGATCCATATATGTGATTATGTAAGGTATAGTGCCTATCTTGCTAAAGGTTCTCTCCCTCCTTTCTGCCTCTCTGGCCAGATTTAAAGAAACAAGCATACACAAATCCTATAGCCACAAAGAAATGAATTCCTGCCTGACATAGCTTGGAAGTATATCCTTCCCCAGTTGAGCCTTTTGATGAGAACACAGCCCAACAGACATCTTGACTGCAGCCCATAAGACCCTAAACAGAGGACCCAACTAAACTGTTTTTATACTTCTGATCCACAGGCACTGTGAGATAAACAAAAATGTGTGTCGTTTTACATTGTTACTCATATAATTTGTGGTAATGTGTTAGAGGGCATATAAAACTAATAATCCTGTGATAAACTTAATCCTTCTGTTTTGTTAAATGTCCTTAAATCTAATCCTGACTGTCAATACCTCTGAGGTTGTCACTCAATGCTTACACTGCAATCTTGAATCATAAGATAGAGGGAATTCCTAGTGGAGAAGTTGCAAGATGGAACTAATCTCTTCTGCTTTATTATCTATTTTTGAAGCCATGGGTATGGCCTAACTCATTGCTCAACACTTTATAACTCATGCTTGATGACTCACAGTAAATGTTGTCCTGGCATCTATTTCACTGAGGCACAGAAAGGAAAGGAATTCTTGGTTGGTCACCTGATGTAGACAAGGTCAAAAGGAGAATAGTCAAAGGGGCCAGAAATAAGTAATTTTTTTAGCTTCACTTGTTATAGGTTTTGTATAACAATTTCCTGAGGCAGAGGTGAAAAGGCCTATGTACATGCACCCTCCATTGGTTCCACTCCAAGTCCTTAACAACCTGGGTATAAGCTAATGATTCACAAACTTAATGGAAGTACAACAAGATTGTGTAGGATTGAAATGAGGTCATTCCCCTCTACCTCAGCTACCTGCCCTTCCAGTGTATACCGTCTTCAGTCTTCCTACAGGGATCTTCTTTCCTCTGTCATCGTTCCTGATATGGAGGCTTTGACAGGGACTGAACTCAGCACTAAAATTGCCACAAGGCATAATCACTTTCATTAGGATAAACAAGAAGTTCTACTTCTTCAAGGAATAATCCAGTGAGAACAACAACAACAACAAAAAATAGCAGTAGTAATTCTAAGAAAGAAAAGTAACAAGGAGGTCATTAACAGAATCCCATTTTGTTCAAACCTGTTAGAAAGCTGGAGGGCAAAAAGATGATGGCAATCACATGCCGGAAAGTGCGATGGGGAAAAATCATGTTAATTGACAAACCTGTTCATGCAGGTTTGGCTGGTATGATTGGGAGAAGAGATGGCCAGAACAGCAAGAGGAAATATTCAAGAATTGGAATACCAGGAAAGCTAAAACATGGTCATGGTAATAATACACCAAGAGGACATCAGTTATTCAGCATATTGAAGGTGAAGGTCATTGGCAAAACCGAATGGAAATCAAGATAATCCTAGTTAATGCTTATAAAATACTTGTTACATCAGGACAATTATATGCATTTCACATACATGAACTTACTTAATCTCTGTAAGTTTATGAAGTAACATTATTATTATTACCCCATTCTGAGAGAATGAAACTGACCCAACAGAGATATAATAACTTTCCCAAGATTGCACAGCTAGTAAGTGACAAAGCAAAAAAATAAATAAATAAATAAAAATAAGTGACAAAGCGAGTATTTAATCCCAGATAAGCTAGCTGGATTCTTAGCCATGATGCTCTACCGTGTCTCTGACAAGAGAAAGGTCAGGGAAAGATTAGTGATGCTACCATATACAGGCCACTCTAAGTAGAAATATTCTAATCGAAATGTCTTCATATCTCCAATGGTATTTTTCCTATGAAACAACATCTAGGGCAGGTCAAGTGAGCATTCCTCTTCTGTTTTATAAATGGGAAAATTAAGGCTTGGAGAAACCACAAATAATTTAGTGGAGGGCCAGGATTTTTCTGTTCTCTTTGTCCTATAAAATACCTCCCACCTTGTCAATTTTTCTGCTGAAATTTGAAAAATACTCTTCATCTTATTTCTATCTTCCTTTCTAAAAAAATAATGTAGTGCTCATTTAGTTTTGGAACTTAATGGTGTCTAATCACCAGTATCATATTAGGCTTTTCTGTCACTATTTGATTCCCCTAGCTAACAGGAAAAAAAGATTGTATTCTCTATGCTGATATCATATTTTAAAGCTGTGTGAGGAGTCTTTGAATCAATCCCACCCAACAGTTGCCCTCAGCAATCACTCAGTAAAAGTAAAATTAGACTTTCAGCATTAGATATGATCTGAAAGGTGGTTTTATTCAATTCTTATGAAATAGGTAAATCTGCATCAACTGATGTCTAATTTTCCTATGAAATACTTTGTATTTAAAAAAAATTTTTGAAGTACTTTGTATTAAGTAAAAAATTACTGACTTAAGAATAAATCGTTTATACAACATTCACTCGTTCCTGTAGAGATGTTTCTTTATGAATATTCTCTTTCCACGTGTGCTTATTTTTACGCTGACCTTAGATTTTATTTAAAAGAGAGAGAGAGAACCCTAGAGACCCATAGATCTTGGAACCCAGTTTATTCTCTATTTTTTGGAACCCAGTTTAAAAAAATGTGATGTGTGTCTGTCTGACTTATGTGTTTTAAAAAGAACTGAAGTCAAGGTAGAGGGGACCTGCTTTCCTCAAAGATGGGAGTGCTTTCCGGTCCATTTGTTAACCTCTCAGTCCTACTGCAATGGTTACGAATAAATGACCCAGAACCAGGAGAGTTGATTATCAACAGAGAAGGGGAGGGTTTCAAAGAGCAAGAGAGGAGGGCTTATTACGTAGAGAGGGGAGTGGATGGTGATTGGCAGTTATTCAACAGTCCCCCTGAAGTGCTGCAGTAAAGGACCAAGAGTATTACTCCTTTTTTGATGGAGATGAGAGAACTTGTTTGGTCACCAGCAATTCACCGTTGAGCTTCCTCAAGTCAAGTTTCTCACCACTGCCTAGAAAAATACCTAACTCTGAGGACTGAATATGTCCTCCCTGAATGTTTTCCTTTTGGGGGCAGTGGGGGAAAGTTAAAGACATATAGAAAGGATTGCTAGTAGAAGGAAAGGAAAGAAGGCCAAAGGAAGCAAATGTGGAGACCGGAACAACAGAATAGACATAGAGAAAGAAGCCAGGATGAAAGGCGAGAGAAAGACCACAGAAAATAAAAGCCCAAAGAAGTAAGAGGAAAAGAGAGAACGAAAGCTTTATTGCTGAGAAAAATTTGTCTCCTTAAGTCCTCCAGGTCAAGAAGTCAGACCAACACAGAGCATGGAAAGGAGGCAACAGACATGGACATGCCGTACCTGATCCTGGAGAAGCAGTTCAGCCCCATGGGGGTGCGAACCCGGGCCGTGACTGTCTCTGCCCTGGTATATTGCATCCAGGTGAGTTGCAAAAATGCAAAAATAAAACTTTTGTTTGTTTGGTTGTTTCTCAGATAAACCAACTCTCAGAAGAACCTTGGGGGAAATGATTGAGGGGAAAGACATGTATTGAACCAAAGAGGTAGTGGGGAAAAGCATAACTAGAATGTTTCCTTAGTGTTATCGGGTTACATGGCCCATGTGTGGCCGATGGCATCAGTGAAATGGGGGGACAGATTAGGGTAACCATATACACATGCAGGATAGCTATGGTAATTTAGAAATGCCACTTATCTATATTTCTCTCTTTTAGCATCCTGTCACTCATCCCTCAAAATCCTAAATAATCAAAATGAATTACATAATTCCCCTAAACAGTTTCCACATAAGCCCTGGTACAATTCTAGCAGCTTAGGTGCCTCCAGATCAGAAATAAGGTAAAAGAGGGAAAATTCTTGAAAAATACTTCCAACCTTTTATTTCTCCCTACCAAAAATCAGAAGCCCCTGTAACTTGTTAGCTGAGAAAAGGGTCATTAGATTGAGGATTCTGGACAACTGTCAAGGGGAAATTTACATAGCTATGAACACTAGTAAAGAGGAAAAGCAGGGGCACCTGGGTGGCTCAGTCAGTTAAGTGTCCAACCCCTGATCTCAGCTCAGGTCATGATCTCAGCATTGTGAGTTCAAGCCCAGCGTGTTGAGTTCCACGCTGGGTGTAGAGCTTACTTTAAAAGAAAAAAAAGAAGAAGAAGAAAAACAAGCAACTGGCTAGTATCATATTCCTGTACATCTCTTAGTAGAGAATGGACTGCTTGTTTTGCTTTCTATATCCCAGTTAAATTATTGTCTGTAAATCCATTTCTTCTTCTTGTATTTTCCTTTTGCTTCCTGTTCTTTTCCTTGCCCTTCACTTTCTTTCTCTTTTCTTTTTTTTCTCTTTTTTGGCAATAGTCACTGTTAGCACTTTAGTTATCTGTTTAGCACTTTAAGCTTCTCTTATCTTTAGTCAGAAAAGAAAAACAAAGAACCAGAGCTGGGTTGAGGAAGTACACACTTTGTCATCCTTAGTGATCAACCATTTAAAATTTTTTTTTTTAAGATTTTATTTATTTGCAAGAGAGAGAATGAGAGACAGAGAGCATGAGAGGGGGGAGGGTCAGAGGGAGAAGCAGACTCCCTGCTGAGCAGGGAACCTGATGTGGGACTCGATCCCAGGACTCCAGGATCATGACCTGAGCCGAAGGCAGTCGCTTAACCAACTGAGCCACCCAGGCGCCCAGTGATCAACCAATTTAAATTAAAAAGAAAAAAAAAAAAAGCAGTTTCTCAGATGTTGTCTGCAGAGGACAGCTCTTTAGTCCTTTTACAAATCCTTTTCACCTGCTATGTCATGAGTTTTTGTGTCCCCTCTCCCTCCCATAAACTCTCAATAAGTACAAATATCTGTCCCTTGTGGGGGACCTTTGTGGTTTTTGTTGATGATTTCCTGAGAATATTAAGTCATTCAATTTACTGGAAGTGAGATGCAATTTCTAAACAGAAGCTTCTCTATGTGAAGGAAAAAGTCAACTGAAATACCAGGTAAAAGAAGGAGTAGAAGCTTTCATTATCAGTAGCAGAAGGGACTTGATAGCAATATCAAGGAGTTGTTAGAGCAGATTTAGCCCTTGTGCTACTAATTCATTCAACACATATATATGATAGAGTTTGATTTGAATTCTGGCTACATCAATAGGAGCATGAAGTTGGCCATGTTAACTTAAACCCCTTTGCCTCCGTCATGTAATCTTTCAAAATAAGGCTAAATATACCCACCTACATGAGTTTTGTGATGAAATGTTATGACATATTGAAAATTCTTAGCAGCCTGACTGGCATATAGTAGCTATTAAATAAATAAAATTGTTCCCCTCCTTTTTCTCCTTTTTTTGTATGGTGTGTTATTGATGAGTTAAGGGAATAAAAAAGAGGAGTGGGGTAGAATTCAATTTGTTGCTGGGAAAGAATTAAGATGGCGATAACAATATCCTGAGGGACAGATCAGGACATTTCTAGGACAAATTGATTTAAATGCTGCTTCTGCCTCCCACTCACAAAAGTTGTAATGCTTACCCACAACCAAAAAAAAAACAACCCAAAACAAAAAAACAAAACAAAACCAAAAAACAAAGCAAACAACCCCCCCCACACACACACAGATTAGATATTTGCTCTTCCAGTGTCTCCCACTTCAAATATAATAATCAACAGGCATGGGAGCAATGAAAACAGTCCTAAACATGGCTGACCCTATGACCTTGTCCTCATATTGTCCCAGCTCTCACCAAGTAAACAGAGCAGAGTCATGAAGAATGGTTGGTAGACTGCTGAGCAGAGCAGATGAGACATTTCCCTGTCTGAGACTATTTCCCTTCTTACAGCTTCCCCCGGCAAGATGTGAGAACTGCGTGAATCCTGAACAGTAAGTATCTGAGACCAAACTGGGAAGAAGGAGAAACAGACAAAAACAGTACCCAAAACAGGATCAAGAGGTCATTAAATATCTGTGACTTCCCTTTATCTTTACTTAAATGGACATCAACCCACTAATCTCACAGATGGGTCATACAAAAATAAAGACATGCCCTCGTGTCATCCTAAGTACTTAAAATAACATCCCTCAAGGCATTTTTTCCAAGGCTTATCTTCCCATTAAAACAATGGAATTAATCCATTTTATATTAATTTTTTTATAATTAATATAAAATATATAGTTTTATATTAATCAATATAAAAACAATTTATATAGTCACAGAAATTTGCAAAAGTGTTTCTTTTCCATGCTTCTCAGTGACTCATCAGGACAGACTGGATTTAAAATCTCATCCCGGGCAGATACGTTTGGGTAATTCCAAAGTAGCATCACCATCTGAAATATGATGAGCATTTTCTGTATTTTAGGGCATGTCAATACTTACTGCAGACTTCATTCAGCTGTCACTTTGATGCTGTTATCCCTTAATCTAAACCTATCACAATTAGGTCTTACACAGACACAGAGGACATAAAAGGGGAAGAGATTCACTCCACTTGGAGGTAAATTATTAAGAAAGCAGCGCCAGTTGGAACAAAACACTTGCTCAGCCTGAAGGAAAACACATATTTAGCCATGGGAAGGGTTCTTCAATAGCCAAGACTGTTAAACCCAGGGGAAATGGTGGCGGTCTTGGTTGCTTGTCACACTGTCTGAGGTTTTAGACACCTACTACTCAGGAAGAATCACTTTTAACAGAATCAGAATCACTAACACTATAGAACTAGAAGAGGTTTTAAATAAATGGAGAATGTGAGAAACCTACAGGAGACATTGTTTATTGAAAAAGCAAATCGTATATTCTACAACTGTGCAACCAAAGAGAGGATGTAGAAGAAAATTTCAATAGGTTTCAATAGCTCAATATATCAGAAAGTATTATTAAATTTGTTCATCTTCAAACATAAATATTTCCTTCCTCTCCCCTTCCCACTCCTGAGCTTACCCCATACTCCTTCTTCCTTGTAATCCATATTTTTGTCATCTCTATAGAGAAAATTCAGTTACTTTAATTAACTTTCAACATGGTGAAGTTGGTTTCTATATTTTTCCTCCTTCCTATTTGGCTTCAGTGGGTGTATATATTAGTTTTGATATTGGATGTGAAAGTTCAGGGTTTTTTTTCATGGTGAGAATTTTTATGGTTTAATGGTGACCCTTTTCGCAACAATTTGCAAAACATAAGTTACAAACTTCATTGTATTGCTTTCATGCTTATAACTGAAATTTTCTTTATGTTTAAATTTTATTGAACTCAAATATATACACACACACACACACACAAACCTTAACTTTCCTACCCATTTTCAAACTTTGTAAACTTACATTCCAAATTCTTTCTTGGTAATTGTCATCGTAACTGTTTACTGTGGTCATGGTTATTTTTTCTATTAACACCATTTTCATAATCACTAGTCTGTCTTATAATGATTTACAAAATTATTTACCCAATGTCATCTGTAGTACTAAACACTTTAAGGCATCCCATTTTGCAATAGATTCTGCTGGCTATATTGAAGTTAGAATAACTTGTTATATGTTAACTAACTGGAATTAAAACTCAAACTTAAAAAAATATATGTAAGTTGTGATGCTTTTGTTATAACAAGGTAGCAAATTATATTGTAACTCATATTCCTGATTCTGGAACTACAACAGGCACCGACTATGTTTTTATTGCAAAAAAACCTTTATTCTTTCTCCATAGTTGCCTGACCACAGATTGGGGGCATCTCTGGTACATATGGTAAGTTTCAGCTACCATACGCAGAAAGACATTTCAAAGGCACTTTATTTTTCTCAAGGGCATTCACTTTTAGTTTTTTAGTTTTTAAATATATTGACAGCAGGAAAAAAAATGTATGAGACGGCCAGCCTACTTACCTAGCATCTCATGAGTAAAATTTCTTTACCTCATCATTAACTATGTGACAATATGCCAGGATTTCCTATTTCAATACCATCAAAAGGTTCTTGTGTATTTTGTCAGGGTCAGCTCTAGAAATTTCTACAGAGAGGAGAATATAAAGTAGAAAGCAGACCCTCCAAACCACATTAGATCTCTTACTGTTTTAATGAACTGATGTAGTCTTGCCGACAAAATAAGTATGCATGTGAAGTGAAAGTGTTGACATTAAAATCTTACGTTTATTGTGCAAAATAGTCAAAGTCAAAAATGTGGACACTGAAGACCAGTTATGGCCAGGGCTGGGAAACACACCAGATCACAGAGCTTTCTCTGGGGGGTGGTCTTCTTGCAGGTTGCTGGTGGTAATTGGAGCACTGCTTCTTCTGTGCGGCCTGACTTCTGCGTGCTTCCGCTGCTGTCTGAGTCGCCAGCAAAATGGGGAAGATGAGGGCCGGCCTCCCTATGAAGTGACCGTCATAGCTTTTGATCATGATAGCACTCTCCAGAGCACTATCACTTGTGAGTACTCTGACATTATAACCTGAAAGGGGGTTTAAAAGGATGATCAGGGAGGCGCATGGGTGGCTCAGTGGGTTAACTGTCTGCCTTCCACTCAGGTCATGACCCTGGAATCCTGGGATCAAGCCCCTCATCGGGCTCCCTGTTCAGCGGGGAGCCTGCTTCTCCCTCTCCTGCTCCCCCTGCTTGTGTTCCCTCTCTCGCTATCTCTCTTTCTGTCAAATAAATAAATAAAATTAAGGGGGAAAAAGGATGATTGGGGGCCCTTGGGTGGTTCAGTCAATTAAGTGTCAGACTCTTGATCTCAGCTCAGGTCTTGATCTCAGGGTTGTGAGTTCAAGCCCTTCACTGGGTTCCACGCTGAGTGAGGAACCTACTAAAAAAAAAAAAAAAAAGACAAGTAAAAGAATGATCAGGATGATGAAACAATATAGCAACATGGATTGAATAGTATTAAAGATTCTAGAACTCAGGGTTGTTTTAATTTCCAGAAACCTGATGGTGTGGTGACCTGGGCTCTCACTGATGCTGTGTTCTCAAATACTGGTCTAATGATAGAGTGAAGAAAGAAGTAGAATGTTGGAGAAAATATTGGAAATGTCTTATAGGAAGAATTACCCAGTTTATAAAGCTATTTTGATAAAACTATTTTAAGCTCTGGGTGTATCCCTTTTTCAAAAATGTCTTGGATTTTGTGAGAACCTGTATTTTTTATTACCTATATATTATTTTACATCTTTGAAGAGATTAGTCATGTGTCCTTGCAATTCTTTGTTCTGTAGTGTATCTGCTGATACACTTATATGTTAGCCTAACATCACCTTGATGATTATAAAACACTTTCCTTTATGTCCTTCTGTTCTCTTCTTCATATTATATTCTTTCCTGAAATGGGAGAAGAAAGACTAGTCAGAACAGCAGGTGGCACAACATTGTGAAATTTCTTTTGAAGAGAGACTACATTGCTGTTCACCTTTCCTGTCTCACTTACTGCCCTTTGAAAAAAGATAAGTAAGACAGAAATAAATATTTCTAAGGAGTCTGCATTATCAGTGGGTTGGTGTAAAGGGTCCCAAGTCCGTAAAAGGGAAGGACAATGTTGTCAGACATGGGGACACAATTTAGATTAGTTGAGGACCCCAGAGAAGACAGTATCTTCCAGCAGAGTGAAGTTGGTTTCCAAACAAGGTTCACAGCATTTTCATAACATTTTGTGGCCGAGAGTGGCAATGGTTTGGACACTTGCTAAAAATGAAGGGAAATTAAGTGTGTTGTAAGTCCCTGATTTCTGAAGATGTCACATTTACTTTAATTCTATTCCTTCTTTCCTCCCTAGCCCTGCAGTCAATATTTGGCCCTGCAGCTCGAAGAATCCTGGCTGTGGCTCACTCCCACAGCCCCCTCGGCCAATTGCCCTCCTCTTTGGACACCCTCCCAGGGTATGAAGAAGCTCTTCACATGAGTCGCTTCACTGTTGCAAGGTGTGGACAGAAAGCACCTGATCTACCCCCAGTGCCAGAAGAGAAGCAGGTGCCCCCAGTGGACGAGTCTCCTCGAGTGGAACACTCTTCAAACTGATGGGAATTCTGGTTTTATAAATGGGGTGGGGGTTTCCCCAGAGTTGCTAGAGACAGACAAATGAAACTTTTTTTTCCCAACTTCTGGAAGATTTAGGATGACAAGTAAACATTATTCATTGGAAAGGATGGGTTCCAACTCTTCATTTCCAGCCACATCTATTTTCTAAGATGGAATTGCTCTAATTGGGAACTCCAATTCTTTATCCAGTGGCCAAAATTTGCAACTAACCTCTAGCAATGCTGGTTATTACTGAACCAAGAAAGCATCAAAAGTATGTTGAATTCCTTTAGCTATTGAGTTCCTTTACCCATAGGATACCGCAAGTGGTTTTTCTTTCTGCCAGCTATAACACAACAACAGATCGTAATACACTCGAGGAGAAAGACAAGAGCGTAGGCACAACCCACAGACAATGCACCGAAGTCATGAATTCTTCCTCTTGAGAGAACATTCACTTTTATGCCAAATGACAATGATACTCTTGGACATCATGTAATACCTAAGTGGATATCCAGGATCCATCCTTACAGATATGGGCTAAGAGAACACATTACAGCATCAAGGTGCCAAATATCAAGGTCTTTCTTTCACTCTGGTCCTACCCACTAGTAGTATGAGAAATTGCATAGAGTGCAGTAACAGTTTCTATTCATTTTTCAGCTCCTCTGCCTAGCAAACACATGTGCGCACACACACGCGCGTGCACGCATACACATGCATATGCAGTCTTTTCTGAGTCTAGAAGAAGAGCATCACTTTGCTTTTCTCTTTCTGGCTTTGACCACTTAAAGCCAGATGTCTTGAGTGACACATTCGAGTGGGGTGGCCTTCACTGCCACCTAGTGGAGCCATGGTCGAAATGGCTATGCGCACGCCTCTCCAGTTCCTGGAGCAACTGAACTCAGCCTAGAAGGGATCCTAACCTGGGACACCATCCTGCCGTGTAGCGCTAGGCTGTGCACCTGACGTACTACTGGACAATTGAGGAAGTGAAGTGTATCGGGGGAAAATGACTTGCCAGTCACCTTAGATAAATCATTGAAAATCTGTAAAGCAGTTTTCCCACCGGTAAAATAGGGGCTAATAAAACCTCCAAGGATTGTTATGAGAATCAAATAAACTAAATATAAATGACAAGAATTGTAAAGTATTACGCACACATATTTGATACTCTTACTATTGACATCAAATTTTCACCCTTTTGCTAAGATCCTACTGAGAATTATGTTCCCATTTGTCCTTTTGCCAGTCATCCTGTTGTTATCATTAAGTCGCACCGAAAGTCACTTTATTTCATCAATAAAGATTTGTTGATTGAGGTTAACAACTAAAGATATGTGATTCCTTTTAAAATGGTCTGTATAGAGGTAAGGAATATTTGAGAAAACACGTTTATTTGGCAATTAGCTTCAGCACTCATAGAGACGTATACCCAGGGAATGGCTGATTACTATAGCACCTCATTAAATACATTCTTGGAATGCTTCCTCAGCCCAAGGGGGAAAATGTTCTAACTGAGGATAAGCTGCTAGTGATCTGAATTTATCCTGAGTCATTTATCAAATTGCCTCTGGAAATTGTTAAGATGCATGAATTGTTAATAGACCCTGTGGTGGCCTTGTTTTGCCACTGCCAAATGAATCACTTCATTACCACACATTCCATAAAATATTCTAGGCTTGTTTTTCCTTCAAGATACCGCAGTACTGAAGCAGTTAAAACATCATCTCGTAGAAAAAGATCTTGGAAGAAATCCTCCTATGAAATCCTCCTACAAGTGCCTTATTCTAAAGAGATCTCTCAGCCCCACCTCTCCCCTCCGCCTCTCCCTCTCCTCAGACGCATGGATACTTGCATTCCTGTAATCCTCCCATTTTGTCAGAATATTAGCCGCCATTTGGCTTCACCTCTTTCTCTATTCAATCGAAGGTCGCTGTTAATCAGTGCAATCACTTTCACCACTGTTCTCAATTTTTTTAAATGTCTTTTTACTTTCTTTACACCTATCCTTCAAACTTCAAACATCGGTTCAGTGAAGCTGATTTGTCCCCACAGCCTATGCCGCTGAGCTGCAGAAAACTCTCAACTCTACTAAGAGAGGTCATGACAAGGTCATGGTCCCCAACACCACCTGAACCACCTGCCATTTCTTCTAGAGTTTCTTTTGTAATTCTCCTACTCCTTTTATTAGTTATTCAAATTTCAGTGGCTCTTGGGGTGTGTGGATGGCTCAGTTGGTTAAGCAACTGCCTTGTGATTTTGGCTCAGGCCATGCTCTCAGGGTAGTGAGATTGAGCAGTGCCTCGGGCTCTGTGCAGAGTCTGCTTGTCCCTCTCCCTCCCTCCATGTGCACTCTCTCTCTCTCTCTCTCTCTTTCAAATAAATAAATAAATAAATAAATAAAATCTTAAAAAATTTTTTTCAGTGGCTCCCTTTCAACCCCATGCCCCGTCAACCACTCATTAATTCTAGGCAGGGGACTTGTCCTCCTCATTCAGAAAGGAAATCAAGCCTTCAGGTAACTTCCTACCCCAAAGCTATAAGCTCCTGCAGACCAGCACCTGCTATTCCTCCTTCTTTCCAGTCTCATTGAAATAGATGTCCTTCCTCCTCAATATAATACTTCTAATTAGGTTTTGCACTACATTGATTCAACAGTTTCTGTGTTCAAAAGGTATTGTTTAAAAAATTATCTGCCAGGAATAGTGCAGAGGCAGCTGGGGGTAAAAGAGTGGGCAAGACAGTCAGGGACTCTGACTCATGGTCCTCACAGACCTCAAGAAAAAGTAAAAAATAAAATGATAACAATCATGAATAGCGCAGAGAACCCTTGAAAAAGGCAGAGTGAGGGAAGAACAATTTCAAAGACTAGGGAAAGTTTGCTAAGTTTGAGGAGCTGAACAAAGAGTAGCTGATCCTAGTAAGCTAAAGAGAGAACTGCAGCAAATGGGGTCAGAGGGGAAAGGAGTCTTGGGGGCAAGGAGTCTACACTGTATTTTACATGCATTGAGAAACCATTGAAAATTTAAACAGTAAGTCACTTGATGCAATTTGAATTTTTTTTTAAGATTTTACTTATTCATTTGACAGAGGGAGAGAGAGAGAGAGAGCACACACAAGCAGGGGGAGTGGCAGGCAGAGGGAGAGGGAGAAGCAGGCTCCCCACCAAGCAGGGAGCTCAACATGGGGCTTGATCCCAGGACCTTGGGATCATGACCTAAGCTGAAGGCAGATGCTTAACTGACTGAGCCACCCCGGCACCCCCAATGCAATTTGAATTTTGAGGCAATGACTCTTGATGCTATAGAAGAATGGACTGGAATAGGACAAGTATGAAAACTGAAGACTAGATGGGAAATATTGAGGAAGAGTAGACAACAGGTGATTGTGGCTAGGAATTGCAATTGTGGATAGTCCATGACTGTGGACTAACATGGTGATGTTAGAAGTGGAAATAGAGATAAATGTAGGAATTTGAAAGGTGTGTTGGGGATAGAATCATCCACATTTGCTGATGGATTGAGTTGAGAAATGTAGTAAGGGAAAGGAATGAAAAATGACTCCTTGATCATTGACCTGAGCCAATGCATGGGAGGTGTAGCTGTTGATTAGGATTAGGGAAGGTGTAGTTGTCTGTTGATTAGGGAAGAATGTGCAAGACCAGATTTAGGGGAAAATTCAAGATAGTGATTTCTAAAATGGGGAAAAGGCATTTCATGACAAAATATATACCAAGCTAATCTAAGGTAATGCCGACTTCACTAAAGCAGCAAAAAAAGTTCAGATGTGTCAGTGGGAAAAATCAAAGTTTTCCTTGAGATTAAATGATGAAATTCTCAATTTGTAAAGAAGAAAAGAAAAAGAAATTCTGTATTAGGCCTTCATAATTTACAATATTTATAAAAGAATTCACTGGAAATGGCTGAGATTACTGGATTTTCCTATCTGGGACAATGGGGCCTGAAGGGGAAGATACAAGTTTAGAAGCCCATTAAGTTAAAATGTCCATTTATGTTGTGGAAATAATTCCAAATGGAATTGGGAAGCCCTGAAAAGGGAGCTCTCAAGCATGTATCCCTCATTGTAGCCTACATAACCAGCAAGAATAAGGAAGATAAGAATTATTTTAATAAGGGATGACATTATATCTCCTGATTTTTTAGAAAAGGAAGGAAGATCCCTCCCTGCTCCAGCAACAACACATTAACCACTGTTTGCAAACAATGAGACACCTCTACAACTTCAAACTCTTATTGTCCCTATAAACTTGTTCAAACAACCATTCCCAGTTTCCTCCTAAAACCTAATAAAAGCTGACCTTCCCTTTGTCTCTTTGGACCTACCTATGGTTCACCATAGCTTCCTGTTCTGAATTGTAATTCCTCCTCTGTTCCCAAATAAACTCACTTTTTTTTTTACTTAAATAAAATTCTCTTTGCTATGTTTAAACTTAATAATATACAGTTGACCCTTGAACACCAGTTGGAATTGTGTGGATCCACTTATGCATGGATTTTTTTGATACAGTGTAATACTATAAATGTATTTTTGCTTCCTTATCATTTTCTTAATAATGCTTTTTTTCTCTAGCTCACTTTATTGTAAGAATACAGCATATTATATATATACACAGAAATAGAAAATACATATTAATCAACTGTTTGTGTTATTGATAAGGCTTCCAGTTAATAGTAGGCTATTAGTAATTAAGTTTTGAGGGAGTCAAAAGTTATACATGGATTTTTGACTGCATGGAGATCAGCACCCCTAACCCTTCCCCCCCTCATTGTTCAAGGGTCAACTGTTTATGGGTATAAATAAGGTAATTAGTTCCCCATCCTTACCATCCTCCTTCTTCTTCCTTTTTCTTATTCTTTAATTGTTTACTTTCTACTGGCTTCATTCCTTTGTTATATAGTAGTTTAGTATAAATTATGTATTGGGAAATGTGGGAGGATGGAATTAAAGAAAAACGTCATATTGTTAAGGCTTAAATT